CTGCACTCCAGTCTGGGTGACAGAGTGAGACTCCAACTCAAAAAAAAAAAAAAGTGAATTCATTAGGTTTACTTTTTGAGTGTCAGGTAATTTCTTTGCTACTAAGCTAACAGTATTAAAGCCATCATGAAACTAGAATGAATGGATTTAATTAGTGGGGCACCTTACTATAAACAAGAAGTTTAAAGCCATATTTATTACAGAGAAGATTATTATAGATAGAAGACTACCTGTCATCATCAAGAATTGGACTTTACATAACAGCACGATTATTTCAATTGATTGTATGTCCTGTACCTCAAAAAGGATTTGAAAAAGAGAAAGCCTATTAGATACTTACATTTGTATATTCCAGGTTAAGTGTAAGCCAAAAGACAAATTGCAGCCAATGGGAGATAGGGTGGAGTTTGTAGGGGAAAAAAACTAAAATGGGTATTTTATATTCACTGAAAAACAATAGGCTCCAAATCTAGTTTGGGAGGAATTGGCAAGAGATCCAGCTTCTTCAAGGTTAGCTTCATAATAAAATAACAGTTGACTGTTTTAAAAGCACTTTTCAAATTTAATTCTCACAATAGTCCTATAAAGTGGTGTTCTTGTTCCCATTTTACAAATGAAGAAAATAAAATGTCCTTGGTCACATATGATGCGCTCTGGTTCCTCCTGTGTTTTTCTGTTCCTTGCATCTGGTTACTCAAATATCTCCTTTGACAACTGCATAGAAGTTTATTCAAAATTTGTTCATTTTTAAAAATATAAAGTAGTTTCATTTGTTGCATAATGACATATATGTAAAGTGCATCATTAAAGCTATCACCACATAAAAACTGTACTGCTGACATATCAGTTTGTTAGAAATTATATAGATGTAACTCTACTTATAAGAAACTTTAATAATATGCACAATTGTCACATTATTACTGTGATTTATGCTAATACTATAAGATTTTATAATAAAAAGTATAATAACGTAAACATGGCTATTTTACCATTGCCCAAGAAATTCTCTGGAAATTTTCGGAATGATACTGACAATGAGAGTAACTGTTTTTCTCTAACCTCAACAGGGAAACATTGGTCCCCCTGGTGGAGAAGGGATTATAGGTCCAACAGGTAGAACTGTAAGTTTGTCACAATACAAGTCTTGTTTTAATTTTTATACTCATTTTGTTATTTAATCTTATTTTTAAAATAATCCACAAAGAATCAGCGTCAGTGTTTGAGAGACAAAGGACAAAAATAGATGTATATTTTCTTCTGGAACATGATTTCTGAGAATGTAGGGATTGTGTACATAATGAAGAAGGCATAAATAGTTAGGCAGGCACATACCTACCTAACTATAAGGAAAGAAAATAGAACTGAGTCATGGAGGGGAAAGCATCATAAGCATGGAGATGATTACTTAAGCAATAAAATTAGTCTTTTTTCCGAAGGAGAGAATGTAGATAGTCAAAGAAGTACAGACAACCAAAGGTTTCAGTCTTTGGAAGTACCCCCTATAAAGGAAAGAAAAACAGTGGGTAAGACTAGCAGGAAAACCAGGATAAAACAAGATTACATAGATGAAAGTTTCACAAAACGAGTGGTCAACAGTGTTCTTTGAGAATAAGTTGCAGTAGAAGATGGAGTGCAGGTTACAATGAAAAAGGAAATAGATGAAAATGTTTAACAGTAGCTTTCCTCAAATTCTTTCAGCAAACTTTAGGAGTAGATATTACTATTTTCATCTATTAGATGAAGAAACACAGAGGCTTACCTAGTCATTCAAGGTGATACAGCTGGAGTTTCTTCCTTCAAGACCAATGCTCTTTCCACCCCACTCAAGCTATGTCTGGAAAGGAAACTGACAGAGTATGTGCCGGTGCTTTGAGAAATTTGACTATGAAATAAACTAGAAAAATAAGGCAATGATTGAGGAGTGGTTATGGAAAAGTTTGCAATGCTGACAACAGTGTAATCCAACAAGAGAAGGAGCACTGTAGAGAGGGTCATATTGAGATTTGAGAGGAAAAATGTATTTCCCATAGGGAATAAGCATTTTAAATCATTTGAAAGAGTTATATATAGACATACACAAAACACACGGAGTGGTAAACTGCTGGGAGGGAGCAGGGAGTGGGATGGAAGAGATACACTTCATCGATAATGGTACCTGATCTCAAACCAAGTGAAGTAAGGACCAAAGTGAGGCCCAAACTTTACCTGTACAGTGACCATTTGTATGCCTAATCCTGAATTGTGCCCCACATCTTTAAAATAAAAAAGGAAAAAAATATATATGTAATGAATCTTTCAAGTATTAAATACCACTGTTCTCTTTAAGACGTTTAGAGAAAACTCACCACCAAAGTTATTGGATTTTTTACTGTATTTTTAATCAAAAGAAATAAAATGTGTAACTCAGCATGCCTCTAGACTTTCAGCATTTGTCACTCAGCTATATAAGATTGTAAGTGGGAGAATTCTTATTCTTCAGTGGGTGGTTCTTCAGCAAGCTAAGGACACATACTGTTCTGATTACAGAATGATAGCCCTCTGTCAAAATGTGATGTGTTAATTGGTCAAGGAAAATGTGATAAAAATGGCTCAATTAAAATTCTTACTTTGCTTTGTTTATAGATAGTTCTTAACAGCCTTTATAATATTCAGCATACACATTAAATTTTTTCCATATTCTATTTTTTTCATTCTAAGAAAAGAAGTTCATTATGAAAGAATAAGCATTTGAGAATGGCAAAAACATTGTGAAATTAAATATTGGTGGTGGGTGAGGAACTTGCTTTTCTGAATCAGAAAGCAATACTACAAAGTCACTGTAAATGAAACCATATGGTGGTATAAAGAAATAAACAGCTCAGTGTAACCGATTAGAGCCCAGAATTAGATCTAAGCATATATAAGAATTTAATTATACCAAAATGGTATATTAGTTAGAATGATTTTGACTGCAAGTAGTAGGAACCCTGAATCAAACTAGCTTTAATAATAAGGAAATTTATATCATATTGCAAGAAGTCCAGAGGTAGGAGGGGCTTTAGATTTGGTTAATTTGGTGACTCAATCATGTTATCCAAGACATGTTTCTTTCTATGCCTCTACTCTATGATCCTCAATGTTGGCTTCATAATTAGGCTTATGGCAGGATGACTACAGTTTCTCAAGAGTCACATCCAGGCATAAAAAAGTGACCTATAATTCTATCATCACAAAACAAAAATTTTTCAAGATGTCTCCAATTGCATATTTTCATGTCTAATTACCACCATTCAGCTACATATCCACCCATGACCAGGAAGGGAGATGGAATTACTTTGAGTACCACTGCTACTATAATAAATTGGAACCTAGCCTGGGCAACATAGTGATACCCAATTTTTTTTTTTTTTTTTTTTTGAG